ATACATAGTTTTTATCGTAGATAACTCTACAACCTTACTCCAAGATGGATTAAAGTTTACTCAATCGAAAAGAGTAGAGGAGAAAAATCTATTTTTCCATTTTTTTAATGGAATGAAAGTGTGTTCCTATTTGTTTTAGAATCATAAAATCAGTGATTGTCTATTTGAAGCTGATGCTCAGGTGTCTCAACCCCCCACCCAAAAAACCCACATTTGGTTCATCTGGTCAGAGTCACGTGAATCCCAGCTGTCTGTTTTAAGTTTTGAGTGTGTACTAAAATAAAAATAAGTATTCTAACATCTTACCGGTTTGTTTTTGTTCAGGCATTACATGTATACTATTTTTATTAAGAGAAATTAAGCTTGTGTTTCTGTCACGTAGTGCTTGTGCTTAACTATGAAGCTTATTAGACGTTATGAAGCAGATGATGCGTAAAAGCGAATTTTGTCAGTGTTTAAGATACTTTTTTAAAATTATGTTTTTTCTTCCTTAAAGAAATCTACTGCATCACGTGTATTTTTTTTTATATCATGTGTAATGTCCATTGCATTTATTAATCACAATTAAATTAAGAGGGGATGACAGTAAAAAACCCCGGCGAGAAGATGTCATCAAGTACACTGCCATTCGAATAATCGCGCTGCGTCCAGACTCCAGTGTGAACTTACGAAGTCCGGACTGGCGAGAATGCGAGCACGGATAAGGAAGTGATTGTTTGCGGGATTTGTGGTGTTTTGGTGTAAGAAATAGCAAACCAAGGTACGACACACACTGGTTTTTACATAATCACATTGAGGCAGGTACCTCATAGCACAAGCATTACGCCCAACCTATTCTAAGAGTGTAAATATACATTTAGAATTCTTTTTTATTTAACTGTTTACAAATGTCAAGGAGTCAGAAACAAAGGGAGAACACAATGACAAATGATAAATTTGATGAATAAACAAATAGACAACATTTTTTTCACTCCAAAATAATACAGCACCACAATGGTAGCCCAGTATTTCACATAACTGTGTGATACTCATGCATTTATTACTTCCAGGCTGGACTACTGCAA